CATTATCACCACAGGACACATTGTCAGTAGAACAGAGCCTTTCTGTGGAAGATCCAGCATCCACAGACCAAGCCAGCTAGTGAAAACTTCCCCATCAACACTACCAAGATATGACCTTACTAAATACCCACACGTGAGTGGCTGCTCTTGACGAGGAGCTTGCACTGGGCACTGATTGTTCAGAGCCTAATAAGCAACATAAAATCATCTGGTCAGCTTACATTTCCCCCAAATCTATCAAGCATCGTGTCTTAGCACAGAGCAGAACATTTTCATTTGGTTTGAGAGTGGTTTTGGATCTCTGAGATGTAAAGTTTGTTTAACACAGCTGGCTGTTAACTGATCCTGGGGATACAACCCTTGCTGTGGGAAAGGAAGAAGTGGGATGGTGTTGGAGAAAGGTGGAAGGGACAAGGATGAGCATTTCTTGACAAAAGGACAAAAACCTTTATTGTCTGGGGGTCCATTGCACACTTTTCTGCTCATCTTCTACTTTTGAAAGGAATAAACCCAAAACTTCAGGGAAGCCCCAAGGATCAATTTGATGCCATGTTTGGCACACCTGGGTGCCAAAACTGTCTTCTACAGCTCTTATTCCACCTCCAGCTCTCTTGGAGCCTCTTTAGGCACTGGAAGAGGCTTTAAGATCTCCCCAGAGTATTTTCTTCTCCAGACCAAACAACCCAGTGTTAAACCAGAATTGAAATAGAATCTATTCCTTTATCTTCCATGTACATTATATATGAATTACCTGTGTTTTGATTTGTGAAAATCTTTCCCCCATTTTTGCAGGTGTGTTTTGCACATAAAGGACATATGAGCAACATCCTTCACCTCTCAGTGTCCTACACCAATGTCTCTTCATGTCCAGTGAGGAGGAACCTCACCTGCCAGTGGGACTTCAATGAAACTGACTCTAAAAGGTATCCAGACAATTACAGTTATCAGAGATTGCATTTTCCATAGTAAGAAGGTGCAATAGGAAAACTGAGGGAAGTTCTTATTTATATAGGAACAATTGGAGTAACCTGACAAAAGCTCTGTCTCTACAGAGGCATTGCTGGAATGTGTTTCCATGCTTTTTGGAGGATTTAATGAGTAAATTTCCATGTTTCTTGCTACGTGCACTATCTCACCTCAGTGACACACAGGTATACTTGAAGATTTTTGAGAACATAAATTCCCCAGTTTCTTTCCTGGTCAATATTCTGCAGTAAGAGAGAGAATTGCTTGGTTTTTCACTCCACCCTTTGAAAGCTTTGAAAACTGGTGTAGCCTTTGATTTTCTTTATTCACTTAAAATTCAATGAGTAGAAAACATTTGGTAGCAGACATAAAGTTTAGGATAGGCAGACTAAAAAAAACCAGGAGTGTAAAAAAATGAAGAGAGCTGAGGGTTTAAATTCTGGATTGACCTCCATTGAAGCCACTGATGCAGTTGTGGTATTTTGCCAAAAATAAAGCAGGTATAATGATTCCCATATCCCACTCTAGTGAATAGAGGGGAAAACATAAGCAGAGACCTAAATCCTCATTTCTCATTCTGGGAACCCAACAAGGACATGGTGAATAATCACAAACTGTGCATGTGGCTTGTACTAAATACCAGTAGTAACAAAAACAGTGCCTGACATTACCCGGAATCTTCACAATCACCTCAAATTTGTTTATTGTCCCAACCTTGGTGTCTTCCAGCTGGACATTTACCTGCACCAACCTCTGGAAGAGGTGTGTGAATCCCTCTGTGCTTCTCCAGGACCTCCCAGCCAATTCCCCAGTATTTGTGCATCAGATAGACTTGCAGAGCCCTGTGCTGCAAAAAGAAACACATGGATCATTTTATCTTGATGAGCTCATCATTGCAGACAGATCTGTGATTGGTAAAGGCATCTCTCTTTTTTTTTTTTTTT